CTGACTGCGAACCATGTATGGGATACACTGATGACTCTAGGGACAACCCTATCTCACTCACGCAGGGTTTCGGGGTATGTTCATTCTGCCCTATAGCCCCAAACCCCAAACCCAAACCCCCAACCCCCAAACACCTCGCCTAAACCCTTAACCCTAAGCCCGAAGCCCTAAACCCTAAACCCTAAACCCTAAGCCCCAAGTCCTAAGTCCTAAACCCTAAAGCCTAAACCCTAAACCCAAAACCCAAAACCCAAAACCCTAATCCCTACCTATCGACTTGCGGCCCAGCGGCACCGTGCCTCTTCGGGTGTTTGGGACAGAGCTCGTCCTGCTTGAAGACAGGGCTTCTAGACCCGGGAGTAACCTAGGAATAAAAAGGGTTTAGGGTTTAGGGTTTAGGACTTAGGGTTTAGGGTTTAGGGGTTTAGGGGTTTAGGGGTTTAGGGGTTTAGGGGTTTAGGGGTTTAGGGGTTTAGGGGTTTAGGGGTTTAGGGATTTAGGGGTCTAGGGGTTTAGGGTTGTTTGAATTATAAGGGAACACCAACCCTAAAAAAAGAAAATAAGGGCCTACTCCCGGTCCTAGGCGTTGAGGGTTTGGGGCTTGGGCTTGCAGATCTCTGGGCCCCTGTCAAGATACTTTATCGAAGGGGCGTTAGAGGGTGAGGTTAGGACTTAGGGTTTAGGGCGCACATAGGGATTTCCGAAAAGGGGGGGTACCTTATTGGGGTCCTGATGATAAGGGGAATCCTACTACTTGGGGTTCTATTCTAGGGGTCCCCTATGTTCGCAAGCCCCCATACTATAGGGCTTCGGGTTGGGGATGACTGCTCCTTTTGCTGGCTGCAAAAAGATAGCCCCTGTCAGACTCTATCTGTGAACTCTGAACTCTGAAGAAATCAGTCAAAAAACGCCCCAAATGCGGAGAGCCCTGCACACACCTCAAGTGTCTTGAACCGGTTTAGGTAGGGCTGTTTATGGGAGAGGGTTACGGGGTCATAATGGCCACCAGTTGAAAGAGCACATTAGGGATGTTCCCTCTTATACTAACAGTCCTTAATAGGGATCATACTAAGGCCCTATTAAGGACTGTTAGTATAAGGGGGAACATCCCAAGAGCACATCCTTCAGCCTCGTGGACAAAGAGATGTGAACTTATTGCATCGTCCGCATTTCTTGGCCCAGACAATGCCCTAAAACAATAACCCCTTAAACCCCAAACCCTAGATCACATCAATAAACCCCTAAGAGCCAAACCCTAAACTCTACAAACCCTAGGCCCTAAACCCTGAACACTACAAACCATAAACCCTATAAACCCCGAAGCGCCTCCCGAGAAATCCTTGAAAAAAGACCTCCCGTGTCTCGTGGTCCGTCCTGAACAGATGCCTGTTGCGCATCCCCACGGTGTTCTTGCGGGTCATGTCCTGCTTAGGGCTTACGGGCTTGAGGGTTTAGGTATGTCTGCTGACCCCCCCCCCCCAAAAAAAATAAATATATATATATATCCAAAAAAATACATGAAAATTATATTTAAAAACAAAAACAACGAGAGGGCCCTATAAGCCTTGTGCCCTCAGTGCTGTCTAAGCCCCGAAATGTCCGAGGTGGCTGCTGGGTATGTTTTCATGTACTCCGGAGTATACCCTGAACCCTAAACCCCATAAACCGTAAACCCTACACCTTAGGCAAAAAGGATAACCTTGTGTCATTAAGGGGGTTATAAGGGAACCGAACACCCTAAAAAAGGAAAAAGAGAATGCGGGCCCATTGGGGGGTCCTACCCGAAACCCCAAACCCTGCACCCTAAACCCCTAAATGAGGTTTAGGGTTGAGGGTTTAGGCTTTGGGGTTTAGGGTTTCGGGTTTAGGGTTTAGGGTTCAGGATTCAGGGTTTCAGGCCCAGGGTTACCCCCTACCCTGAATCCAGGGTATAACCTGGGTCCTACTTGGAGGTTCAGGGTACTTATAACCCCAGTGGTTTAGGGTTTAGGTACTTATAAACCCCCTAAGTCCTCTAAGTAGGCTAGAAGTAGACTTGGACTGTGGCTATGATAGCCATGAACCTCTAAGTATACCTGAGTGGGGGTGTGTGGCGGTTTGCTTAAGTTGGGGCGTGGGAAGGAACTCTTCAAAGCCAGCAGCTTCGGTGCGTAACCCGTTTTTTGGGGTTTAGGGTTTAGGGTTTAGGGAATACCCTAAACCTCTATACCGTAAACCCTCTAAACAAAAGAGTTATGCAATGCCTCTTCATGCCTGTATAGGGTTCAGGGTTCAGGGTTCAGGGTTCAGGGTTCAGGGTTCAGGGTTCAGGGTTCAGGGTTCAGGGTTTAGGGTTTTGGGGGCTTTGGGGGTTTGGGGGGTCTGGGGTTCAGGGTGCCTTCTTCAAAAAGGAGGTTTGTGTGAGCACCCCTAATCCCTCAAGTACAGGTAACAGAGTAAGCCTCGTGACCCCAAGGTCCATGTAAGCACCTACCCGATCCATGTACCTAAATAGGGAATACCTGGGCCTGAAAGTACCTCCTATACAGGGACTCTGGGCCCAAGTACATAATAACAAGGTACATTCTAAGAACTCAACATACCCCAAACCCATACCCCTTAACCTATAAAAGGAGGATGTAAGGAAGGATTCTACCATACCCCTTAAGTTTCTTGAATGGTATGCCCAAGGGGTATGCTGAATATTTCTTGGATACATGGACCCTTAGGGCTACACCCTAAGCCCTAAACGCTCTGCATCTCAAACCCTAAACCCTAAACCCTAAACCCTAAACCCTAAACCCTAAACCCTAAGCCCTAAGCCCTAAGCCCTAAGCCCTAAGCCCTAAACGCTCTGCATCTCAAAGCCCGCACCCACCTTGCCAGTACTCGTCGCACGAACTCCCTGGGCATCCCCCCCAGCTCAAGGAAATTCCCAGCCACCTAAACCCTAAGCCCTAAGCCCTAAGCCCTAAGCCCTAAACCCTAAACCCTAAACCCTAAACCCTAAACCCTAAACCCTAAACCCTAAACCCTTAACCCTTAACCCTTAACCCTTAACCCTAACCCTAAACCCTAAACCCTAAACCCTACACCCTCCGAGACCCTAGGCCCTACAACTTTCCCCCTTCCGGATAAGATGGCCAACAGGTTGGTGCACATGCGAAACGCGTGGATAAGTCGCCTTGTGGCTCTGTTTCCAGGCTTGGGCTTGCATGAGTCTTGCTTGGCATTTAGGGTTTAGGGTTTAGGGTTTAGGGTTTGGGGTTTAGGGTTTAGGACGTAGGTTTTGGGGTTTCCGGTTTGGGGTTGTTTTCTGACAGATGTTAAAGGTTCAAGAAACTATGGTACCATGGTGCGGAAATGTCACGGCTTTTCAAGATCTAGCTGTCATTCCTGTACGCCATGCACGCGACATTCAGAGGGTGGGTGGCGTCCTGGTTGAAAACTAAAACAGCTCCCCAGAGCCCGATACCCTAAACTCTAACCCTCGACCCTGCTTGGGGAATGGGCGCCTGATTGCCCTATTCCGTCACCCGAAGCAAAACCCTGACAGCTCTAAACCCTAAACCCTAAACCCTAAGGGACCCCCCAGGTCTGTGGGACTCCGGGGCCCGACCCTCAACGCGATCTCAAAACTTGTCAGCCACTCCCTGGCCCCAATTCCCTCCTGAGGGTTTAGGGTTTAGCGGGTTTAGGGTTTAGGATTTAGGGTTTAGGGTTTGGGGTTTAGGGTTTTAGGGTTTCGTTTGTGGGTTTGGGGTCCTCTTTGCCGCCATGGGTGCCGACCCTTTCGGCGATGATGGAGCGTCGCTGACTATCTTGCCAATGCTGATGCCGGGGTCCTCCAAATGGTGGGGTTCAGGGTTGAGGGTGAGGGTTTAGGGTTCAGGGTTAGGGTTTAGGGAGTTAGGGATTTAGGGATTTAGGGATTTAGGGATTTAGGGATTTAGGGTTTAGGGCACCAGTTGTAGATCTTTGAGCCGAGCCAGGGAAGAGCCTTATTTGCGGCTGGTGCGGTTGCTTGAACGCATCAGAAGCGTACTCTGCTTAGGTAAACACAGCAGCTCTTTGTTGTCCAGTAACCTAGGGGAACTAAAGGTTACCCTTTGGGAATTTCATAGGGATGATTGCACTACCCGAAAAAGGTTAAAGGTTATCTACTCTACTACTAAGAGCTGGACACCAGACTATCAAACACTTGTAGGATACTTTCCCCATCCCGGTCATCAGACGCTGCTCGCTCGAAGGTGGGTTGCGCTGGAAGCGTAAGGCCTCGGCAAGACACCCCAGGATCCGCACTAAATAGGGTTTAGGGTTTTAGGGTTTTAGGGTTTTAGGGTTTTAGGGTTTTAGGGTTTTAGGGTTTTAGGGTTTTAGGGTTTTAGGGTTTTAGGGTTTTAGGTTTTTTTGGTTTTAGGGTTTAGGGTTTTAGGATTTTAGGATTTTAGGGTCTTAGGGTTTTAGGGTTTTAGGGTTTTAGGGCTTTAGGGTTTTAGGGTTTTAGGGTATTTAGGGTTTTAGGGTTTTAGGGTGTTGAGGTTTGAGGGTGTCAGGGGTTTAGGGTTTTAGGGTTTTAGGCTTTAGGACGGAGGATTCCTGAATTGGGTTGTGGCTTTAGGGCTTATATTTGCAGCCCTAGTGTAGTTAGAGAAGCTGTTTGCTTACACCGATCTTTGCCAAGACACCAAACACTCGCCGGATGATATGTCTAGAAAGGGTACCCTTTCCAGCTTAACGAGGCTGATAAGGGACCATGATTCTCGGAGCTTACCGAGCTTACCCATACCCTCAAGCCGAACTTCCTCGGGTTGTCTCTTCAAACCCGTGACAAAAAGTATTCCCAAGCATGATCCTCCTGAAACCACAATCAACTCCACAATTTCGAGAAGATACACCAACCCTGAACCCCATGAAAGCCCTCCGAGTCTGATGGTTTAACAGGGTTTAGGGTTTAGGGTTAGGGTGATATATTCCCAAAAAAGGGAATAAGGGCCTACTCTGGGTCGTGAACAGAGGGC